ATTTACTCTCCTTTTAACCACTTCCTTCTGTGCTCGTATTTGATACCTTCTAAGTGTACATTTGACCATATCGTTGATTAGTTTTAACTTATATATAATTTGTACTACCATCAAATCGAGATAAAACACCGTTTTCCTAACCCTTCTAGGCTTAGGAAAAAATGGATTAGCAAGTGTGTAGCTGGGCTATGCAATTTTGGTTCTAATATGTACTTGATCTCCACCCTGTTTTTTGGTTATTTGCAGACATTGGTCCATCGTCAACCATGTCTACTCAGAGGCGCTATTTTGTTAGTGAGGTGTTTCAACTTTCAAAGGGAAGCAAGTACTCAGCCCGTCCCCGACTATGAACCTCGCATGGACGACATACATTGTAGTTTCAGACCTCGGCTTCTGTTCAAATTTCAGCTATCCAAGGCAACCGGTTGCAACCAATCTTAAGATAATGATGATATTACTCCATTCTTAAGATTTTACAGTCTAGCGAGGGGTATGGACCGTATGGTAGAAGGGGTCTTTTGAACGGTTTCTGCGTGTATGCGTATCCCAGAAAATGAGCATATTATCGCACACATATTTCAAGCGCTTGAGCGAGAGGACCTCCCTTTGCCCCCGTTATTAATTGTGGTCATACGGGAAGTGGCCATGCAGTCGCGTAATAGTACGGTAGTGATCATCTTGAAACTGATCAAGTGATCGTTGAACGTGTTACGATGGTATTGATGGAAAGACACGGACTGAAGCTTATTCCTGCTTCTAAATCATTCATTCAGGGTCTTGAGATAGTCGAATTAATGGTTTGGAAGCCTCACAAAAGATATCCCCTAATACATGCGTTATTTTTATGGAGGGTGTTGGAAGGGATATTGTAATGACTCAAAATTCTTATTTTGAAGTTAAATCCGGTGATAGGCCAAAATAAAATCATGGTTAACCTCTACGCTATTAACCGTAATAAATTTCTTTCCTTAAAAGAAATCCAACACAATATTAAATTTGGGTTATTTTATGGTTGCATCTAATCTTTGTGTTAGACTGCCTACGTACCCTACGAAGGGATCAAACCATTCGTAGTTCACATTATGCTTCCAGAACAATATACTAAAATTTCATCACGATCCAACGGTCGACTCTATGCCAATCAAGAATTCAAGTGGCGGTCGACGTTTTATTTTACGAACTTACAAATCCAATTCGGGAAGATTTGTACCTCAGATTCCCGATCCGTAAGTTTCTAGTATCTTCAAATATTACGTACTATAATGTATTAGAGTTTTGTGACGATCCAACGGTCGGATCATCGATTCATATATTGACCAAGTAACATATCGTAGTGAATTTAGGTTCAAACGATCAACCTACGTCATACGAATATCAAAAATGAATTTAGGACATCTAATTTAGCCTAAAAATAGTATTGAAAGCCCTTTGGCCACGCGCCGCCGTGGGTGGCGGTCGGCCGCTCCGACTCATCAGAAAATTTTAACTATTTCTAAAAATTCTCAAATTTCACAAAAATGAAGATCTCAATGATTAGAGGAAATTTTATACTTGTGGCCAAGTCCAATTTGGCCTGGAAAAGCTCCAATTCACTCGCACCCGTCGGAAACCCTAGAATGGGTGTTCGTCGATTCACCACCTCTGGTGCTCCGTCGGCCCTACAACTGATTCGTCTATGTTCTAGGCCTCAAGAGGAGTCTAATGGTTAATTGGTGGAAAACGTTTCACAATGGTGGATCACCGCTGAGCTCACTCGAACCCGTTGGTGGAATCCCTCTCAAAATCATGGCCAAACACTTCAAGTTTGGTTGAAATTGGATGGGAAAGTGGCAGGGGAATGATTGGGTAGTGGTGGGGAGCTTTTGATTGCTCGGAGAACACCACGAGGGCGTCAGAAATGGATGCCGGCCGAATCGGGTTGGGGTGAAGAAACGGGTCCAAGGGAAAGATGTTTTTGTTGGGTGTTACTTCTTCCTCTCCTTTTCCCTCCCAGTTCCCCTTTCCCATTGGTCCCCCTTTCCCTCCTTTTCTCTCCCGCAACCTTCTCTTCCTCACAGCCACACATGTGGCATCATCCCATTGCTCCAACTTTTCTGGAGCCTTCCAAATTAAGGGTAAAATGCCTATTTTGCCCTCCATTTCAATCGTTAATAACTTCTTTGTTATAATTCCGTTTCACGAACGGTTTTTGCCTACGTGCTCGTAGGATCGATCTCTATCTGAATATGTCAAGAAACATGACAAAATATATGAGGATAAAATACGTTCTCGTAAAATTACGTTTAGTTAACCAAAGGGCATTTTCGTCTTTTCCCCTTATCAATAATTTTTTTTCCACAAATCATATATTTAAAATTTGGGTATTATAGATATCCGCACACAACTCTCTCCTGCGTGAGTGATGGACTCGTGTTAATTTGACGTAGCCTTAGCAAAGCCTTGAGTAGGCTCTTAGGTTTTCTTACAAGATTGATTGTTTTAGGCGTGCCCCTACTGGCCAAGATTAACAAATTGTTTAGTTTTTAAATGTTGTATAGGACATTTGTTTGCGCCACAAGTACTTTATATTTCTCTTGTATTCAATGCCAAAACAATGACCACAAACTGATCAAAGATGATCCAAACCAATTTGCAATCCTTGTAAGAAAATGGAAGACAGAAAGCAAGTAGAATGAAATAAAGCGAGAATGGAAAGAAAAGTGTTTGCAGATGCTTATAGAATGTTATTAAAAAGGACAGTAAATAGCGTGAAAGGATGATAACTTGAGAGTGAATTATAAAGACAAGCAATCATACAAAGTTTAAACCTATTCAAGCACGTTACAATGCCTGTTGGGCAAGTTCTTGAAGTTACTGGCATTGTTAGGGTAAGACCTTAATACAAGAAATCGATATTACAAAGGGAGTAGCATAGCTATAAATATAAAGGAATGTTTGAACTACAAAGGAATAAGTGAAAAGTAGGTTGCAGAACTTTTAGAAGTCTTGTTGTATGCTAAGTTGAGTGTCTTTTTCTCTAATCCTTCTGCATCCTTTTATAGAACCCTTTTTTCCTTTAGAGCAAGTCCACCCATCCTTTGGAGGTTGGCCCAAAGTCCATATTAATTGACTTAATAAAAAATTATAAAAAATGTTTAAAAATACAGAAAAAAAATTTAACTATTTTTTTATTATATATAAATACCTAACCATCTTCTACAAAAATTATACTTTCGAAAAATGACACATGACCTGATAAGATTGGTTAAAAATTCTATCTGAAATTAAAAATAAAATAATTTTTTTATTATTTTATAAAAAAATATTTTAATACTAGTTGACTAGACTTTGGGCTAGCTCATTTTTAAGAAGTGGAGATGCACTTGATCAATTACTGTTCAATTAAGTCAATTACTATTCATTTTGGTGGATTAAATAGACTTTGGGTCAACTTATTTTTTAGGGATGAACTTGCTCTTAAGGTTAAGCCTTTTCCAATTCGGTTCATTCCATTTCATCCAAATGGTTGATGTGATGTTTGTCAGAGATGAGCTCCCACTTGAATACTTAAGCTTTGATCCTCTTGGATTTATAGATTTTGCCATTGAAAATGTACTTTTCCTCTGCAACACAGCCGAACAAACCCTTCTTCAGTGTGAAAGAGGGCGTCACAGGGCGGTCTTGCCGCCCATTTTTGCCACGACAAAAGTGTCTTCAGACCTTTTGGGCCGTTCACTGTTCATTTACGTGAAATAAATAAATACCCAACAGCAGAATCATGTGTTAAGTGGGGCGTTGGGCTTAGAACAGATCCAACTGTTTAATTTGGGTCCTAACAGAGGGCTTTAATGACTCAGGAGACCAGTCACTTATGCCCCTTGTGCCGATACCCAATGCCAACTGCGGAAGTGGTTGAGCCATTAGAACCTTCAAACCCAGTGCCAATAGCACAAGCAGTGCTTGAGCCATCAGAACCTTCAAACCCATGCAAATAGTGGAAGTGAGCGAGCTGTTAGATCCCTCAAACTGGCTTTGGCCCATGCTGCTCACGATGTCCGTGGGTGTAATGGGTGCACTTTGCAGATTATTGAGTTATGGTGGTTGTCTCAAGTTAATTTGTGGGAGGAATGTATGATCGCTAAATTAATATTCTGCGTGTTGCTAGAAAAATTCAAACTAGATGCAGAAAATTGGCATTTGGCCGTTTGGTTTCCTGTGAGTTTTTCGATCTACAAATAACAATAGATGAAACAGATTTCAATTATTATTGTGTATACTTAGCGTCATTTGGTGTCTGACACTACAGAACCCAAAGTATACATAATAAATTTAAAACTTTTGAACATTGCTTAATCTGATTGCATATGTTCAATTAATCTAATCAATCCATCATATACTCGGCGTATAATCATTAATGCAATCATAGTCATGAAGATTCTAGTTTTCTCAACAATGCAAGTGTTAGCACAGGTTCAACTGTCATTCTTTTTTCCTTCTCCTGAACATAAGTCCAAAAAATAATGCATCTCCTAAGTCCTAACTCCTAACCAACAAATCAACTCACCACTTGCATACTATTGAGGACTAATCAACAACTTTTCAGTGTTGCCCTAATTAACTTTCAAATTCTCAATATATCCAGGGTCTAAGCATAAAATTGCAATTTCCGGAATTCTTTCTGAGTGCTAGGTGCAGTGAGCGTATCAAAAGGAGCATATTGAATTATGGAAAACGAAAGAGAGATGTTATTGGCACTTTCAAAAGTCATTCTTCTATACTTCTTCCTAGTGTTACTTTCTCTTACAATTTTTTTACGAGAAAAGTGTAGGTTGACTATTTGGAGTGTCCACGATAGCACCCATATGATTATTTTAGTATATATATTTTTTTTGAATTATAGATTTACAAATTGAAGGTGCTCTGTCGAATAAGTGAGATGTCTTCTTCAGATAAAAGGTTTACTGTTAAACCTTAGTTACAAGATTATTTGATAGAAAACTTATGATTATATTTCTTGATCAATAAGATTACAACAGATGGTTATATATACAACCAATAAACCTATGAAAAATGACAGCTCACCTAACTAATTTACAGCTCATGAAAATTAGCCATAACAGAAAAATATCTTCTAAGTTTTATCTTTTACAATATTAGCCTTAATATCCCCCCTCAAACTAAACTGAGGGTGGTGAAGAGCAAGTTTGTGCCGGAGAAGATGAAACCGAGTCTTGGACAGAGGCTTTGTGCAAATATCAGCAAGTTGATCCTGTGTGCAGATGAAATGGATTGAAAGCTCTTTAGACAAAACTTTCTCTCGGATATAGTGGTCATCAAGTTCAACATGCTTGGTCCGAGCATGAAAAGTTTACTGTTAAACCTTAGTTACAAGATTATTTATACGGCCAAACTATCCCTTCTTTTATTTCACTGAATCTGTTAATTGTTTTCTACGTGAGCTGTTACATGAGCTCCATGCATTTCTTGAACAGTGATAGTAAGCTCCGGCGACCCATGACTAGTAGTAGATGGCGTTTGTTGCCCTTTGTAGAATCCAAAAACCTTATCAGTGTCGTTTGCATAGCTGAATGGACTTTCAGGCCAGTTCCTATTAGGTGAGGCCTTAACTTCTTCTCCAACCCCCGCAATTCCTTCTTGTTCTTGACGGCTTTTAAAAGTATGGGAGTTGAGGTCTTTTTCGTTGAAAATTTCAATCATGGCTCGAACCCTTCTCCATCTCGAAGAAGAAGTTCTGGAATCAGGCTGCTCCAAGACATGCCTATGCTTGTAAAAGAAGCAAGCTACGAATATGATGAGAGCTAGAATTGAAGCCACCCCGGCAATTAGGAATAGGCCCCAAAAGCTTTCAAGACCAAGGCTGTTGCTTGAGATCCTTGGAGTCCTGGAGTTATCTTCACAATTGCTTTCTTGACTGAACCATTTGCTCTCAATTTTCATGATCTTCTCTCCTTCCATCACGCTTAGGACTGCTTGTGAAATATCGGGCACAAGAGGAGAACGCTTTGGAAACACCTGCCAATTAAGTGATCATCTCAAAGAAGTCACGTTTTTATAAATGCGTTTAAATGTCTACATATATGTATATGGAAAATCATTTCCGTACACATTTTCTCCTCATGCATCATGTTTAATTATGACATTTGAGTTGAATAAACAACAGCCGACCGTACTTAGTGAGATAAGGCTTTGTTATTGTTGTTGAGTTGAATAAATCAAGGAGCAAAAATAAACATTGGTGCATAAGGAGCAAAAAAGGTGTGTATAAAGGCAAGAAATCTTACAAAACCAAAGCCATCAGTTTTGTAGATTGGACCAATCATGGTATATTTGGAACAATATTTCGCAATGAAAAGCTCCATATATGGGGTTCCAGCAACAACAGCTGCAATACCACCCTTTCCGCTCCCTTTCGAAAGAGCTTCATCACATTCTTCCATGGTTTTGATAGCCTTAAGCTTGGACTCATGGAAACCGACTTGTTTCATCAAGAGTTCGCAAACAAAGCTATTCTCCATGCATCCAACATTCTCCCCTTTTCTTAGTATATCCTTTATATTCGTGACAGTTGGTTGGAGTTGTTCAACTGTTAATAGCGATGCTAGATTAGCTGTGTAGCTTTGTGTCAAAACTAGCACAACAAACACCCATATAATCATCAAGAATCTGGCCAAGTTGCTAACCACTCTCTCCCCTGTAAAAGTGGTTTAAAAAAAGTGTACCAAAAATAAGGGAATGCCATTAAGATTTCTTATTTTGAAATTAGCTAGCCAAGAGATCGATAATTACTATGTGAAAACACCATGGTGGAGAAGGAGAACCAAAAGCTTGTGCCAACTTGATGTGAGGGAGGGCCGCGAAAGTCTTCATTAATTTGATGTTCAAGTACCCAGATGACGAAACCAATGAAGATGAAGAAACAAAAAGTCGTAAGCCACAAGTCCCATGTCAAGGGCTTCAAGAAAACCCATGCATTTTTGCTCCTGGTGTCTCTGATTGGCACAACCATTACTACCCCCGATTCTGTGTAGGGCATCGTAAAGTCCACGTACAAAGATCTGTTTGCCCTAATCGTGGTATCTCCCACCACAGCATCAAATTTCTGTCAACAGAAGATGTAACCAGAGAAAAATATAAATTGCGGGGTCCAAAATGAAATCAGTAATCGATATTTTATTTTGACATATAAGTTTACCTCAAGATATACTTGATAGACCAAATCATTGTACGTGCCAGCCATTGTTCCATCAGAATTCTCAAAGGGAATGAACTCGTAAGGAAGTGCATATGGTAGTACTTCAACTGCAGCCTCAAAGACATCAATACTGAACCCAGTGACTTGCGTTGTGTTAGTGCTAGGGTTCTTGGTTACCTTAACAAACTCACTAAAACCAAGCTTTACAGGAACTCCAATTCTCAGCTTCTTGTCATTTGTTGGGATCTCCCACCCCTTGGGAACAGAGAAAGAATCTCCAGGCCATATAATCGGTGAAAGATTGCACTTGGAAGTTGAAAGTATGCTTGTAAGATTGCACTTGGAAGTTGAAGTTGAAAGTGTGCTTGTGTTTGCTGAATTCAGTGTCTTTAACATACCATTTTCTGGTGTCCAAAATGCAATAGTTCTTACTCCATCACCATTTACGTTAACTATCTTAAAATTCGATGCGTGAAGTTGCCCATCGTCAAGCCTGAAGTCACCAGCTATACCTTTGAATGAAGTATTAGATATGGCTTGTGAAAGTTTTAGACCATATTGGGAGACCTCAAACGTATCAAGATCTGTTGAGTTAACGGAATCATTCCTATTTTGAAAATCAGAGTTTGTATTAAACCCAACTTCTTCTACTGCAAAGGCTAGTGCAAAAACTGCATCATAAGCCCGAAATCCAAATACATCGACATCAACATCGATGATGGCTGGATTGTCTTGTTGGAATCGTCTTTTCCACCGCATTTTGAAATTTTCAAGCTCCTCTGTTCTTGGAACGTTTCCACACCTAATACCCCTTGCATTGAATTCAGAACTACCGGAGGGATTGACCATAAACGATTTCCTACCCCGTTGGTCATGATCCAAACATAGCCTTTTCTCATCATTCCGACCTCTTTTGCCTTGGCAAATAGCTTAGTGCAAAGTATGGGCAACATGTGCACAATGAAGACTCTAGTTTGCATTGTCATTAACTTGTGAAGCTCTTTTTCAATTTGTACATCTGTAGGTGATGCGGGAATGACACTCCGATAAGGGACATGAGCATCAACCTCTTGCAATGCATCAATTAAAAAGGGTATGACTCCCTCGCCGTACGTATTGTCTACATAAATTGGCACAACTTGTCTCCATCCGAAATTTTTAACAATGGCACTTATGGCTTTCACTTGCTGAGAGTCGGTTTGTGTAATTCGGAAGAAGTAAGAGCTTTGGAGTGAAGTAAGAGAGGGGCTTGTTGCAGAAAATGATAAAATGGGCACATGAGCTTGGTCTCCAAGATTAACAACAAAGCTAGCCTGCATTGATGTCACTGGCCCCAGGATTGCTTGCACTTCTACATTCTTTATCAGGTCTAGAGCTGTGTCCCAATAAAAAAAAATGAGAAATTAGGTTCATATCCTTGTTTTTACTACTCCATTGATTAAAAGCCTATTCATTTTCAATTTTTGATCAAGGTCTTTGGGTATTAATAACATCATTAATTATTTGAATAATAAAATAATTTTATTATTACATATATTCCTTTAAGCTAAAAGCCAAAATTTTTAGCCCAGAAACATTTTTTCTGCTCCAACCCTTCTACCCTAAAATTTTAGCCCGGAATTATTAAAGAATGAAATTAGCCTAAATTTTTTTCTTAAATCATTTAAAAAATAAATAAATATGTAGATTATTGTAAATTAATTTTATGAACATTTTAATCTAAAAAAATTTAAATTCCGATAAACATTTTGCATTTAGCTCGGGGGGAAAGCTGGGGGGTATTTGGCCCAGAAATAGCATTTGGCATTTAGCCTAAAATTTTAGCATGGGTTAGAGAGTGTTTGGGAGGGTAATTTGGGGGGTAATTTGGCTTTTAGCCCAGGGTTGGAGATGTTCTTAGTGTTAAAAATGTTACAATTAGTATTTATATTTATGGCTAAATTTTTTATCATATATTTTTATTTTTAGTTTGTATCTATTTTTAATTTGTACCCATATATTAGTTTCTTTTTGTGCCCATATTTTTTAAAGTTTTATTTGTGTTTGTACTCATGTGTATACCGTCACGTGACATTGTATATTTAATCAATGATAGAAAAATTACATATGGTATATTTATGTTTTATGGATAAACTTTGTATCATATATTTATATTTTTAGTTTGTACCCACTTTTAATTTGCAACATTTTTTTTTAAATTTGTAGTATTTTCTTTTTAGTTTTATTTTGTACCCATGTATTAATTTCTTTTAGCGCCTATATTTGTTTTTAAATTCATTTGTACTCATAATTTTTTAATCTTTTATCTATACCCTAATGTATTTATAATGTACTCATTCTTCTTTATTAATGTACCACTTTGTTATATGTGAAATGTACCAATTTTTTTTAACACTATGGATACATTTTTTTTTGCCATTTATTATTTATTATTTTTACATAGTTTTTATCCATTTATTCAAGCAAAATGTTTGAATTTTTTTATTGTAACGGTTTCTAATAGTATTATAATGAGGGATTTTAAATTTATAGGATTATAAATCTCATAGAATATCAAACAATTAATGTCAAAACTATAAAAATATAATTATTAATTGTAATATAATGAGGTGTACAAAGTCAAGGGACTTTGATCAAACTTTGAATACCATTAAGGTTTTAGTCAAAGAATGTTAAGAATTAGGGACCACATCCAAAGTATCCCTAAAAAAAATTGATTAGTGTGATTGACTAATTTAATGATATTGATGAAATTGGGGTTTCACCATAAAATCAATTGGCAGTATGGGGGAATAGCCCAAGATCATATAAGCCCCCTTAGCTAGACTTGTCTCTCACCAATGTGGGACAAACTCTCCACACAACTCTCAACACGCCCCTGCATGTGTAACCGATTTTCAAGCCACATATGAACAAAATGTGGGTGACACGTGAGCAAGTGTGGCCCCTTAGGCTTTCAGGGACAACCTGCTTTGAATATCATGATGAAATTAGGGTTTCCTCATAATATCAATTGGCTATATGAGAAATAACCCAATATCATATAAGCGCTTAGCTAGAATTGTCCGTCACCAATGTGGGACAAACTCTCTACACACCGTCAACTCTTAACAGATATTATACATTATTTTTCCAGTTAAAATGGTTAAATCTTTATGAATTGCATAGTTATGTATGATCAGATTATACGAAACGATGTCAATATTCGCTAATACCCCGAATCCACGAAGAGACAACATTTTGGTTGGTCATTGAAGAATTTATAAGGCTTGACGGGACCAGCTGCCTAACACGGTTTGAAAAATATAATTAAATGACAAAACTGAAAATCGTACCGTTTTCCCCTCTTGCTCACATCCCCTTGTATTAAACATGTGAGGTCGAAAATTGTAGGGTTTTGCACGTTGCACTTACAGACACATCTTTAACATAATTTGTTAGGGTTCATTTGAAAATGTTTTTAAAATGATTGAAAGTGTTCTTAGTGAAATTGAGTTTGGGTTCCAAATTTTTGGAAAGAAATATCAGATATGTGCTTCTTGCAGAAAGCACTTAAAGTGTTTTTCCAAGATCCACTTAGATTTTTATTAAACATTGGTTTCAAAAATATTTTCACCAAAATGGTTTCAACCATTTTAAAAGTACTTCCAAACAAACCTTTAATTGTTACACTGATTATTTAAAGAGGAAACTTGATATAAGTCCAATTTTTTTTAGTCAACAGTAAGAATAGTCAAATTTCTTAAAATTTTAATTATCAATAATTGTCTCTTCAATGATAAGAATTATTATAAAAATCAAATTTCTTTGTAATTATCTCTTTAATTATTTCTTTTTATTTATTTATTTGTTATTTATTTGTTCTTCCTCCTGCTTTAAACCCCATTTGTAGATTTTATTTTTAATTTTTATAATCAACCTATATTGCTGATTAATTGTATTTTATCTACCTATATGACATGTTCTTTTTTATAAACATCATGTCATAGATTAATCCGTCTTGTTTGTAGGTATATTATTTTTTTTCTACCTTTTAGTTAGATTTCATATCTCAGTTATAGGTATAATATACATTCATATATTTGTTACTTGAGTTAGGGTAGAATGTTTTGCAGATATATTTATGTTAGTATATTAGTTTTTTTGTTATAAGATATTGATTAGATTTTTTGGAGTTGGAAAATGCATAATATTAGAAGATTTTAATTGATTTTTAATATTTTTAGAAAATATAAAATGAGTATGAGTATAAAAGAAATAAAAACATATAATTAGATAATTGGACTCACCCCTAAAAAACACTATGTTTTTGAACCTGGATCTAAAAATTGTATGGTTTTGCACGTTGCACTTACAGACACACCTTTAACATAATTTGTTAGGGTTCATTTGAAAATGTTTTTAAAATGATTGAAAGTGTTCTTGGTGAAATTGAGTTTAGGTTTCCAAATTTTTGGAAAGAAATATCAGATATGTGCTTCTTGCAGAAAACACTTAAAGTGTTTTTCTCAGATCCACTTAGATTTTTATTAAACATTGGTTTCAAAAATATTCTCACCAAAATGGTTTCAGCCATTTTAAAAGTACTTCCAAACGAACCTTTAATTGTTACACTGGTTATTTAAAGGGGAAACTTGATATAAGTCCAATTTTTTTTAGTCAACAGTAAGAATAGTCCAATTTCTTAAAATTTTAATTATCAATAATTGTCTCTTCAATGATAAGAATTATTATAAAAATCAAATTTCTTTGTAATTATCTCTTTAATTATTTCTTTTTATTTATTTATTTGTTATTTTTTTGTTCTTCCTCCTGCTTTAAACCCCATTTGTAGATTTTATTTTTAATTTTTATAATCAACCTATATTGCTGATTAATTGTATTTTATCTACCTATATGACATGTTCTTTTTTATAAACATCATGTCATAGATTAATCCGTCTTGTTTGTAGGTATATTTTTTCTTTCTACCTTTTAGTTAGATTTCATATCTCAGTTATAGGTATAATATACATTCATATATTTGTTACTTGAGTTAGGGTAGAATGTTTTGCAGATATATTTATGTTAGTATATTAGTTTTTTTGTTATAAGATATTGATTAGATTTTTTGGAGTTGGAAAATACATAATATTAGAAGATTTTAATTGATTTTTAATATTTTTAGAAAATATAAAATGAGTATGAGTATAAAAGAAATAAAAACATATAATTAGATAATTGGACTCACCCCTAAAAAACACTATGTTTTTGGACCTGGATCTAAAAGCCTCTGATTTAAACAAATTCATATATAGCACACTCTAGGCATGTATCATCCATTATAATAGGACATCATCATATGTGAGAGAGAGAGAGAACCTGCAGCAGCTGCACCAACAACAGATTGCTTGGAGTCCCTAGTGTTCAAAACAAGCCTGGTCTTGAAGTGAGCATGAGATGCATAGAAGTCCTCGATGGCCATTTTGATGCAACTCAAATACATCTTCCCGCTCTGACTGGGTTGATCGAGGTCAACAACAACACCCACATTCACTTGGATAGTTGTGTTTTCAACCGCCGCAACCGCCGCCACATTGAAAATCCATGACAAGAGGAAGAGAAAGCATAAAAAGACCATACAAGGTTTCTTGACGGTACCCATGTTTATTTGAACAAGTGCTTTCTTAAGTTGCAAGACACTATTTGTGAGGATGAAGCATATATAAATATATGAATATGCAGAGTAGGTACACATGAAAAGTACCTGGAAAATCACACATGAAAAGTCCCTGGAAAATCCTCAAAGAATCAGCCGGTCGTCGTCGCCATGACCCAATCTATAAGGCCAGAACAAAATATGTAACCATATCCTATGAAAATTAAGATATGTACATTGAATTAACAATATTATATGGGAAATTAAACTAATTATTATTGACTTTGCGGTACTCTCTCTGTGGACAAACCGTAGCATGAGTCTCGACTATTATGCGGAGTGTGTGCATTCATGCAATAATTTTTTTCGTACTCATTTCTGTTCTCCTTCTTATACTCATTCCTATTGTTGTCGTCTTTTGGTAATTAAGCAGACAAATCATAGTTTAAATTATTATTTTTTATGTGTTAAACTGTAATTTACAAATAAATTAAGATGAATGTTTTCTTACTTGTAAAGACATAAACATTATTTGTAGTTTAATATGCCTAAATGGGACATAGTCTTAGATTCCACCACTTAATTCAAAGTTGAAGCATACTCCTCCCGAGTCTTGACTACGCTACATTGAAAGCAGCCAACTAGAATATAAAATTACGGATGACCTATATATAATCTAGTGAAAAACTGACTTCATATAATAAAGAATAGCCTTCGAATTGTTTTTATCTTTAAATTAATCTAAATTGCAAAAGAAAATTCGAAATTGAGAGCATGGGGAAGCATCTACGCTACTGAATACGGCTACGCTCATATCTACATATTTGAATTGTTTTAATAATAAAGAATTAAATGGATGTAAGGGTGGGAGGTGAGGTTCAGAAATTTTGATTTTATGTGATATGTGGTTCAGATTAGAATTGAATAATCAACTTGTATAAACAAGTTATTCTAGGACACTCTTTTCTATTTCTTTTTCTTTACCACTTAATATTATTTGTTTTCTTGATTAATTGGGGATAGCAAGCTGAGATATTGGAACTATCTCTCCGGAGACAAATGACAAGTAGTAGATGGAGTTTGTTGCCCTTCATACAATCCGAAATCCTTATCTGTGTGGTTCAAATAGCTAAATGGACTTTCCTAATAAAAAAAGTTAATTGTATGTTTATAGAAGGGACATCTAGAATACATCCACCAATTATCTTGTCATGTGTAAAACTTCCCCTCGTACCGCCGAAGTTTAGAAAAAAGGAAGATGCATTGCAAATGACGCCAAAAAGAAAGTCATCTTCAAGGAATGGAGTATTCTTTTGAAATTTTCAAAGATTTTAAATGAGGTACAAACTTTTTTCTTAAGTCTAATTAATCCACCACTTGATTCAAAGTTCAAGGATGTAGCATACATTCTTGACCCAAAAGGCTCAAGCATATGTCTTACGACTTTGTCTTAGAACGTCACATATGACTTCCTGATAGTGTCAAATTAATAATTTAAGAGTGCGTTTGTTGCACCGGATTGTCTCGGACTGGACTAGTTTTAGGGATTAAGCTGGACTGGCTTAGACTAGACTAAGCTGGACTAACTTAGTGAAACGTTTTGTGCAGTATCGGACTAAGAAGCAGAATAATTAACAAACTCTAAAATTATATTATTTAATCCCTATCTTTTTTAATATGTTTTTATAAATTATCAAATTATAATATTATACTATTTAATCTATATGTTTTTTAATACTTTTTTTTTCTTTTATTTTCATTTTCTTTCTAGAATTCTCGTCTCCTTCCCCAAATCTCTCCACTTTCCCGTCCATCTCCCTCTCAATCTCTCTCTCTCTCTCTCTCTCTCTCTCATCAGCAATTCTATTCTTTTCACACATTCTCAGAAAGTCGGGTGAGGAAGTCGACAAGTATCCGACGAGTGAGGAAGTCGGGTAAAAAACCCACCTCACCTTCAATTCGATTACTAATCAGTCGGGTGAGGAAGTTGACAAATATCCGACGAGCGAGAGAGAAGGCAGTTTGGTAATTACTGGACAACCATGGCAGCAGATCCTGTATCAAACAACAAACCACCGTCATCTTCCAAGGCCCCAGATCCAGCCAACCCAGACTCTTCTCCGAGCTGGAGCCCAACGATTTGAGACCCGTTGGGAAAGTTGGCGAGCGAAGCAGACAAACGAAGAAGACAAGTGAAGCTGACGAACAAAGCCGGTCTTAGCAGTCCTGTTGTTTTCGGGGGGTCTCTGTAAGACCATCTAAGGAGGTTGCTAGTCGAGGCGAGTCCCTCGTAGTACCATTAAAAGTAGTCCGTGTTCCAAACAAACACTGGACTATACTCCAATCCAGTCCAGTGAGACTTAGAGAAGCCAAACAAACGGGCCCTAAGCTTCTAAACAACAATGTACCTATTCAATCAGATCCATGGTGGTTTCAAAGATGAATTTCAGCTCTCCAAATTTCTCATGTGGCATTTGCGGTGGCGGGGGCCGGGTAGGGCTCGCTTCATTTCAGAATCAAAATTTCTGAATCTGTCTCCAGCTTTACAAAAGTTTAAAGTCCTATGATAGTTTTCAAGCATTTTAGAGCTTGTTTGGTATTTTACTTGAATCAAACTTTTTAAACTCAAAAATAATTTTCAAGTTTTAGGCCTTAAAAACTTGTTTGATAAGACTATTTTAAAAAACTGAACTCAAGACTAATTCAAACATATAGTCTATTATCTAAAAACACAAAAAGTGATTTTTTAAAGTTTTTAAACTTAAACTCACTCTTTTTCTTTCTCTCCCTCCTCCCTTCTCACTTCACATCCATCTCTCTTTTCTTCTTTCTCTCTCCCCCTTCTCTCTCTTTTTTTTTTATCTTTTTCGTCTCTCTTCCAATTCGCTCTCTTCAGTTTCTCAGTTCTTTCTCTCACTCTTCTTCCTCTCTATATCCTCCGATCTTCTCACTTCTTTCTCTTTTCTACAATCATCTCTTACTTTCTTTTCTCCTCTCTCATCTTTCTCTCTCAACCCCCTTTTTATGGATCTTTTTGTCCAATTTAAGTTGTAAGATTTAAAATTTTTAAATCGCATACCAGTTTTAAAGAAAATTGTTTTCAAGAAAAATTATTAAGAAATGTTTTGAAAAATTATAAAAAATTATAAATATGATATCAAACAAGCCTTTATATTCTTCTAGAAATTTATCAATAATTCTTGTGAAATTTCAGCCTTGTAAGCTTATTTAATTAATAAGATCTATAGCAGCATAGTTGCAGTGTACTGGAAGACTTTAAAATACTGTTAGTATTTGTATCTTTTTAACCAATCATGTACGTGCAGTCAAATTGTCCTAGAACTGATAAACAAGTCAGTCTCGTCGTCTCTATTAGAGGTCAAAAGTTAATACATATATACGTAGGGTGGTTATGAAAGGGAGGTCTTGTTGAGAATGAATCTACTTATTAATAATAGGAGAGACCTTCTAAGGACTTATAAGGAATTAGGTCACTTCTCATTTGTTAATTGGTTTTATGATAAAACCTTAACTTTTTTTATGGTATCAGAGCAAATTATTTTATGTGTCAAACCTGTTGGCTGAAAGGAAAGGAGGACAGCTCAGCTGCCAAGTCAGCACAAATAAGTTAAAAGAAGTTAGAGAGATAACGGGAAGTTAGTTAGGGTGGTTAGTAGTGTAATGAGTAAGAAACAATAGCCTAAAAATACAAGGCTAGCAGATTGTAATTGTATCGAATTCATTCCTTCTGAATACAATCTACTTTCTCTCTCATTGCTTCTCTCTCTTCGATACTTTCGTTCTTTACATTTCTGTGCTTCTGCATTTCTTGCAAACCTTCATTTCTTCTGCTTTCTTGGTGCTGTTAATATGGTATCATCGCCGAGGAACGATGGGATGATTCTTCCGCTGGAATTTTCTGCAAGTGCTGGGATTTCTATGTGTACATATTTGTTCCTGTTTTCGCATATAAGGTGTTTGCGATATTGTCTGAGTAGAATTTTGATCTGATTTTCATGAGTAATTGATTGAAGGCCGATGCCATGTCTTGCTGTGATATGATATGTTTGATGTATGTGATGAAGAATGTTTGATAAGGCCGATGCCAAGTGTGTACATTCAGTGAAATTGATTGAAGTATTTTTTTGAGTTTCTTGCTACGAAGGGCCGATGTCAGTAGTACAGAATTGTTGAAAATAGTTGTTGATTGAAAGATTGAGTGGGGTATCTTTGTTGATTAATTGGTTGATCGTTTTGGAGATTTCATTTCTTGATTATTGAAAGTATTCTGTTCTTAGAAAGGCATAGTATCAATCTTGCGTGATTTGTGAAGCAATTATGTCAGAAAACACTGAAAATTGAAGGGCTTCTGGGAATGTTGACTGTGAAGCTTCAGGATGATAATTTTGTAAAATGGTCCTATCAATTCCAATCTGTTTTGCGTGGATATGATCTGTTTGATTTCTTTACTGGTGAGAATCCCTGTCCACCAAAATTTGTTATACATACTGAAATGGGTGTTACGAAGGAGATCACTGATGCATATAAAAGCTGGGTTAAAAAGGATATGGCATTGCTTAGTCTGTTAATGGCCACTGTATCTGATGATGCAATGGAACACATTATTGGTTGTAAAACTCCTCAAGAAGCATGGACATTCTTGCCAGATAGATTTGCTTTGGTGTCTGTTGCAAGGATTAGTCAGTTAAAGACGGAGTTCTACACTGCACAGAAAGGAGCAGATTCAGGTGATAAGTTCTTAATGCGATTGAAGTCTATTTGAGATCAACTTGTTTCTGCAGGGGAAAAAGTTACAGATAATGATCTGATTATAGCTGCGTTGACAGGATTACCACAAGAGTATGATATGATAAGAACTGTGATCTTGGCAAGAGAGACATCAATTTCTGTGAAGGATTTTGGAGCACAGTTGTTAAGTGCAGAATTGGCTAATGAATCCAGAATTTCTTCTTTAACTAATTCTATGTCTGCAATGTATGTACATAGTGAAAGCTCTAATTCAAGGAGTAATGGAGGTCATGGAAGATATCAAGGGGACAGCTCAAACATGGGATCTGGCAGTTATCAAGGAAGTTCAAATCAAAGGCCCTACTCTTCTCAGAACAAAGGGTCCTATAATTCTAACAG